AAGCAAGAGGCAGAGGGATCAAACCCACAAAGGATGGTTAACCCCAAGGGGAGCAGAAATTTCTCTGGCTCTGAGAAAGGAACGAGGGTGAAGAGGGTGGGGTCAGGGGATGCAGCACATTTGAGATGGACGACAGGGACCTGCAGGAATCTGGTTGTACCTGCTCTTGCTGTAGGTGAGTGTCCCCAGGACTCGTCACACTCCAGTGTGTTCGCCCGTTTTCTTGTCTGTCTTTAGAGCCAGTAGGTAGGGAACCCAAGGGCAAAGGCCTGTCTCTTTTATTGTGTGTTGTCATTGTATCCACAGTGCCTGTCATAGGGCCTCACAAATAGTAGCTGCTTTATACATATTTGTTGAAATGAATGAATAAGGTCTGAGAAGAGTATTGTTCAGAAGTGGACAGAACTGGGGGGAGGGTTTGGGAGTTGTAGAAAGTATGGATGTGGTTTGGATCTGCAGAATGTGGTAATGAGTCACTTTGAGGTAACTACTAAATCTGTACAAATATCATACTCACACCAGCCAAAAGGATATAATTTTACTTCATCATAGAAAATATTCAGTTTTCTCCAACGATACTGTGCCCACTCCCTCATAGAAATGAAAATGAGGAACGCCATGTGCAAATAAACTGTTAGTCGTTGTGGTAGCTGATGAGAAGCCTTGGGAGAAATAAATGAATATTTTGAATTTCCAAAGTACTGTGCTGATTATCAGAGGGGCAAGTTAGCAGAGAACACTCTGTGAGACTAGAGGAGGGGAAAAAGGACACACTGTATTTCTCTGAGTCTAAGACCCCTAGACTGAAAGATGTGTTACTATTTATACACCACCAAGAAAAAAGATGCTACCATTTAGATTCAGACATAATGTTTTCTTATCACTCTGAATTTTTACTTTACACGTACTGAGAGAGTTCTTTTAAACTTAGACATAGATTTTAATCTTACATCACTCTTGTGTATAAACAAAAAGGAAAGCATACACAAAATTAATCCTAAAGCAATGACAACAATTTCATTAGTGCTGCCTGGTCATTAGTGAATGTAAGACACATCCTAATTTCAGAAATGTATAATCAAGAAATGTGTGTCCTAGAAATGATGAAATATGAGATATAAATGTAAACCTATGCAAGTTCTCTCTCTCTCACTATATTTACTGAGAAGAAATAATAATAAGCTTTGAGCTATTATTAATCATCAGGTGTGATGGGGGTGCTCCTGAGGTGAGGTTCAGCTTCATACCAGCCCCTCAGCTATGGAGGGCCTCCCCAGAGAGGAGCAGGTTATCCACAACTGGTCCTGATGATGGTCCATGTTCCAAGCTCCCTCCTTAGCTGAGGTGTCACCTCACCTGGCGCAGCACTGCCTTTATTCTAACCCCAGAATGACTGAGGGCCTCTTCTCTTCCTGCAGAGATGGCAGATGGGAAAGAGCTCACCCCATCTCCTTCCTAGTCACACTCCACCACTGCCTCTTTAAGCTCTGCTGGCATGGATGCTCCAACCTTTTAGAAATCCCCAGAACAGTCACCGGCTCCTACACATGTCAACTCTCTCAAGAACTCCCTCACCGTACTCCCTTCTGCTTTGATAGGGGCACCAGAATGAGCTGGGTGTGTTTGCAGTGAGCATGCACCCAGCTGAGAACTGAACAGGCATTCTTCTATTCTTCTTGGCACCCTGAACCAATTTGAGGAAATCACCTATCTCCACAAATACTGCACTGCCCACAAGACTGACGACACTGCCGTCTCTCCCTCCCTTCCCTCTGGCGTTTCCTAAGTGGACCAGAGGTGGAATGGGTTGGAGAGGTGTTGATTGCAGAGGCCAGCACTGCTGCCTCTTTGTCAGCCTTGGGAGTTTACTGAGGTCTGGCCCTGCTTCCTGGATGCCCTCTCTAGGATGTGGGGTACTTGGAGCCGCTGTGTCCTCAGCTGTGGGTGATAGAAAAGAAGCATCACTCAACAGCCTGTTTTTCACTCTCGGGTGCATAGGGAGCCCTTTCACCATTCTCTAGTTTCCCAGGTTTGCTTTTTGAAATCTGTAATTATGGGAAAGAAGACCCAGGTCCTCTCTGAGGATAGTGTGCTTTGTTTATACACACAGTTATTACCTGTGGAGTCCTGTCAAACCACTCTGTTTAAACCATAGTTGCAAAATCGCCCGTCAATGACCCACTGATACGTTTCCTGAAAGAGTTGGACAAATGGGCAATAACTCAGGCTGGCCAGCGTGCCTACTTCCTGGACGATCTGACCTGGGAGGGAGCCAGTGCACTGAGATCATCCTTTATTCTCTGCAGGGTGGACTTGGGACTGTCCAAAATAGTCTAACAAAGAGTCTCTAAAAACCTCAATTTATCCTTCCAGTAAAGATGCCTACAGAACTCATTCGTCCTTTTATTCACTATTCAACACCTGTTTAATGATCCCCCCAGAATGTGGCAGGAACTGTTCTGGGCACTGGGAATCTGAGATAGACAAGATCAGTGCTCTCATGCGGGTAACATTCCACTGGAGAGGTATTATTAAGCTAATCAGTATTTAATGAAATTGAATTAAAATATATTGTCCAGTTACTTGTTTATATGCTAATAACGGCTGCCAAGTTCAGGTGTCAACTCTATAACCTACGGCTAAGAATCCAAACGCCCAGGCTTCACAGGCTGGATTTGAATTTCGGCTTTGCCACTGACTGTGGTAGGTAAGGGTAGTAACATGCAAAAATGATTATGATAAGCTGTGGAGTGAAAAAGCAGAACATAAAACGATAGTGTTATATCACCCTGTTTTTGTTTATGGGTTTATATGTCTACATGCACTGAGACAATAGATTGGAAACATGACGTTTCTACAGAGGTTCTTCCTGCACACCGGTCCCCCACCCCCACCACCGCGCCCGCCCCGTCTAGGCTGATGAAATTCGTATTGCTTTTATTTTCATTTTTATACTTATTTTAAATTTTTCGATTTTCTTCAGTGGACATGTTTGTCCAATAAGATTCATTAAGTCTGCCTGTGTCTAGGCATTTTCCTAGGTACTGAGTATGATGATGAAGAAAACCAACAACCCAGTTCCTGTCCTGATCGGGATTCCAAGGATGAGATAAGGAAAAACAGCAAATGTCCATTTATCATATAGTTGACTTGCATGTGCCTCTCTCTCCTTACACACCACCTCCCCACAACAACACTAAATGTGCAAACACATACGTACACATAAATAACGCACCGAAACGAACAACGATTATAAAATAAGAATCGATAAACCTGTCAGAGTCACATAAAAAATTTATAATGGAAGATAAGAGGAAAAAAGATGTCCCTAATCTTTTTTCTGCTGCGGCCTCTCCCGTTGCCGAGCACAGGCTCCGGACGCGCAGGCTCAGCGGCCATGGCTCACGGGCCCAGCCGCTCCGCGGCATGTGGGATCCTCCCTGACCAGGGCACGAACCCGCGTCCCCTGCATCGGCAGGCGGACTCTCAACCACTGCGCCACCAGGGAAGCCCAGATATCCCTAATCTTTATGTGCCATATTCCATCTGTTAATAATCCTATTCTGACCTTTTCTTTTCCATATGATTTTTCTCTCAGGACTGCATCTCTTTCAGTGTTAAACAATGTGTTTCCAGCACTTGACCTTGAAAATTATAGGCCCTACTCGTCTCTGGCAAAAGAAGTCTCCTCAAGATAAGAAATAGAAAATGTTCCCTCTCTCCTGGAGCTGCAAGAATAGCAGATAGGATCACAAAAACTGTATCCAGAAAAGTTATTTCTAACAGAGGAGTTTTTTTAAAACAACAACAACAACAAAAGAGACATCAGAGATTGTCACTGTGTCCTGTGAGAGCAACCCTGTAATACTTTATTTATTATTTAGACACTAATCTGTGTATTTGAAGCAAAATTCTTTTTTGATGGAAGCTTTTAGACTGGAAAAGTGGATAGCTGGGTCATGCCAAGGCAACGGCACTGAGCTATAGAAACCCTCAAAACTGTTGGAGGGCATATGGGCGGGCTGCCCTCCTGGACAGCAGAGTGACACTTCACAGTGAAAACAAGGATGTGCACGCCAGCAATATCACTCTTTTGATATACATGGCACATTGCGGATGTCATCTTTTTTCTGGTCTAATGCATGTAACGTCTGCTTGTTTCATTTGCATTTTTCTGGTTACTAATGATTTGTGCATCCCTCTGTGAGCTTATTACTTCTAGTGTATTGTCTGTAAACTATTTTTTGTGTACCTTTCACCCATTTTTCTATTGGGGTTGCCGTCTTTTTCTTAATGATTCACAGAAGTTCCTTGTATATTTGAAATATTAATCCCTTGCTGTAATTTAGACGTTGTCTTTTCCCATTCTCTATCTGAAAATAAATTCTTAATTTTCATGTAATGAAATACCATTTTATGTCTTGTGTTTTGTGCTTTTGAAGTTTTATTTTTTTCTTTTCTTTTTTTTTTTTTTTGTGGTACGCGGGCCTCTCACTGTTGTGGCCTCTCCCGTTGCGGAGCACAGGCTCCAGACGCGCAGGCTCAGCGGCCATGGCTCACGGGCCCAGCCGCTCCGTGGCATGTGGGATCTTCCCGGACCGGGGCACGAACCCGCGTCCCCTGCATCGGCAGGCGGACTCTCAACCACTGCGCCACCAGGGAAGCCCGCTTTTGAAGTTTTGTTTAAGAATTTTTTCCTCATCTCTACATCACAAATATATTATTTGATATTCTTTTCTATTAACCTTATAGTTTTACCTTCATGTTTATGTATTTAATACTTCTGGAGTGAACATTTGTATACGTATTAGGTAAGGATCCAGTTTTATTTTTCTCTTTCCAAAACTATTAAGTAACCCATCCTGTCTTCAATGATTTGTGATGTCTCCTTGATCGTATACTAATGTCCTATATGTGTGACCCTAGCTCTGTACTCTCTATTCTATTCCATTGGTCAATATATCTTTTGTTGAGCAAATACTGCTGTTTTTTACTGTGCTCTTCTGTACATCTTAACACCTCATATGGTAAGTGCCTCTTCTTAATATTCTCCTTTTTTAGGATTGACTTTTGTATGCATGAACCTTTACTTCTTGATATGAATTTTGGAGTAATTTTCTTCAGTTCTGGGAAAACTCAACTGGAATTTTCAGTAGAATTGCATTAAATTTGTGGATTAATTTGTGGTAGAATCAACATGTCTACAATATTAAGTCATCCCATCAGTGAGCCAGGAACTTCTCTCCATTTGTTTGAATCATCTTTTAAGGTGTTTGTTAGAGGTTTGAAATCTCCATTGTGGTGCTGTGTATTACTGGTGAAACCAGTCCTTAGGAATTTTATAGTTATGTTGTTACCATGAATTGTTTATTATTATTAATCATATTTTCCATTTTGTTATTTCTGCTATGGAGAAATGATTTGGCTTTTGGATCAAGTGTTGGGCAACCTTATTAAGTTTCCTTAGTAATTCTATAGTTTGTTGATTTTGTGTGCTTTTTGAGGTTGAAGATTATACTAACTGCAAATATGACGGTTTCATCTCTGCCTTTCCAATCCTTGTATCTCTTACTGTGGCATTGGCCAGGGCTTCCAGAGCTGTGTTACACAACAGTGGTGATAGTAGCATTCCTTTTCTCATTCCAGATCCTGAACAGCAATGAATTAAAGGTTTTTCCATTAAATAAAATATGTGCTGTAGCTTTTTGGCAAATAACCTTATAAATTAAGAAATTTCACTTTGATACGTAGTTTTCTAAAGGATTTTTAAAAAGCAACCATAAATATGCCTTCAGCTTTATCAAATGCTTTTTAAAAATCAGTTGAGATAATATTATTTTCTCCTTTAAGCTATCATTGTGGTGAATTACATTGATTCTGTAATGTTGGCATTCCAAGAATAAACCGCACTCAATTATGAGGCACCTTTAATACTCATATTTGGTTTGGCAACACTATGCTGTGTTTTGAATTTTTTGCACCTTTGGAATTGAAATGGGACTATTGTTTTCTTGTACTGTCCACTCTTGTTTTAGAACCAAGTTACTCTAGCTTCTTTAAAATGGCTGTCCAACTTCATTCTTTATCGGTTTTCTACAACTATCTGTGTAACTTAGAATTAACTGTCCCCTGAGATTTTAGCAGACTGTCTTGAAAAACCATCTGGCTTTAGTGGAGGATACTGGGATGAGAGATCTTTGACAACCACTTCTACTTATCTAATACTTATTTGTTTTCCTAAAGATGTCTATGTCTCTTTGCATCAAAAGGATGCTTACTTAAACAAATAACCTTGAGGGTGTTAGTTCATCTAAATTAACAAATGGTGTGTCACCAGTAAGTTGATTATATGAATATCTGAGAACAGTGACTCTGTATTAAGCCCAAATTTGAACAAGGAAAGGGGAACTCAGATTAATCTCATTTGGGTCTATATAGGGAATCTCTGTCTCTGTGAACTGGTTCTAACCAGCTCAGAATAATGCTGCTGAAGAGCTTTTATGCTGAGAAATGCTATAGTCGTTTAAAGGTAGGATAATTATTGGGTTTGGTTGTGTTGCAGTTATTGTTGTTGGGTTTTTTTTGCCGCGCCATGTGGCATGTAGGATCCCAATTCCCCCACCAGGGATCAAACCCACATCCCCCGCATTGGAAAAATGGAGTCTTAACCACCGGACCACCAGGGAAGTCCAGTCATTGTTGTTGTTGAATGCTGTCTTGTGGCTTCTGCCAGAAGAATGCAGGTGCAGTCTTACGTGTGAGCCACCAGTGGTTGACTGAGAGGAGAAACGCGGTAGATCTGTTCTCTTAAATGGCTGTTTCTAGGTTTGATAGTGAGTTGTGTTAAACTTGTGTGTGATTCTAGGAAGTCGGTCATTTCTTTATGACACTTGCAGTCCAGTGGAGGGTGTCTTCCCGCACTCTTGGAGCATGGGAAGAGTGAGAAGCCCCCCAGAGCAGAAACCACCCACCTCCTAGCAGGTTGCCTCGCCTCAGTATTAGGGAGCTGCTGCCCTCTACCAGATAAACATATAGGCAAGTGTAGGTCCTGGTCTCAGGAAGCTCAGAGCAGCTGTGTAAAAAATGTATGCATTTGCCCCCCATGTTTGTTTTCTTGGGGAGAAAATGCAGTCATATAATCAAGAGTATACACAAGAATTTCATATTTCTTAAGTTGTTTGAATGTAATATCTCTTTTAATCTCCCTGAGTGAACTGAAGGATAGGGAATGGGGAATCCAGCCTTTCTGGTGCTGAAGCTGTGTATTTGCAGAAGCTGCCCTTGCCTCAAGGATTGGTTTGTCAGTGCCTAGAAGAACAAAGGAAAGGACCTGTGGAACTTGGAATTAGAAGTAGTCCCAGGCATGTGCTGGGAATTAAGAGATGGCTCTCTGGAAGAAAAAACAAAAACACTGACTTGGGCTTCCCTAGTGGCGCAGTGGTTGAGAGTCCGCCTGCCGATTCAGGGGACACGGGTTCGTGCCTCGGTCCGGGAAGATCCCACATGCCGCGGAGCGGCTAGGCCCGTGAGCCATGGCCGCTGAGCCTGCGCGTCCGGAGCCTGTGCTCCGCAACAGGAGAGGCCACAACAGTGAGAGGCCCGCGTACCGCAAAACAAAAAAACAAAACAAAAAAACCCCTGACTTAAGTGTTTGTCAATTTCCATGGTGTAAATACTGCCACCACGGCTAATTTCAAAAGACGAAGACTTAACAGTTGGCTTGCAAAATCCCTGAAAATGTAACAGCTAGCTCTCCTGAGCTAGTATGAGCTGATTCCAGCGCACCAGAAGGTAATCCACTTCCAAAGGGTAGAGACTACCAGCTATACCTTTGAAACTAAGTTGAAAGTTTCAAAGATTTCCCAGGTGAAAATAAGTAGCAAACCAAACTCTTTTAAAAAGCACTGGCTTTGGACTTCCCTGGCAGTCCAGTGGTTAAGATTCTCAGCTCCCAATGCAGGGGGCACGGGTCTGATCCCTGGTTGGGGAACTAGCATCCTGCATGACGCACAGCATGGCCTAAAAATAAATAAATAAATAAAAAATAAAAAGTACTGGCTTTTTAAGAAAACTCTCTTGAGAGAAAAATTAAAGTTTACTTCCCACAGTGCTTGCAAAGATAGCTACGTCATAGGTTATATATATTCTGTACCTTGAGCAAATACATTAATAAGTTATAGAAGTTGGTTGTCAGAGAATGAATAAGATAATTTTCCACTTTAAAAGATGGTTCTTAATTGAAAAAAAGCTACAACAAAGGTAAGCATTAGTGTTCCTCAAAAGATACCATAAAGAAACTTTTTAAAAAAGCAAATTTATTAGACAACTTTGCAGTTGCTGGGATTAAACTTATTACTCTAAACATTGATAAATAAAGGGAAAGAAAGCATTTTAAAAGAATTAGTGCATAGCTGTACATTATAATTTTGTTGAATTGTAAGTTTGTTAAATATAAAACCAAATACATTACTCCCATGAAAATGACTGAAAACATGAAAATAAAAGCCACAAGCTGGGGGAAGATATTTGTAACATACATAATCAAAAAGGCTTTATATGAAGTATATAAAGAGCTCCTACTAATCAATAAAAAAGGAAAAAGAAATAAATATAAATTTCACAGAAGAAAAAGTACAAATGGCTCATCAATATGTAAAAATGGGCAATCTCATCGACAATCAGGAAAACACAAATTTAAACTACAATGTGATACTATTTATCACTCACCAACTTGACATAAAAAACAAATATGGCCTAGGATGTGGAGCAAGGGGGCCATGTATCCACTACTTGTGGGAATATAAATATATAAAATATAGAAATATGTATTGTAAATATATATATATAACCATTTTGGAAAGATAATTTGGTATTACCAACTAAGGTTCAACATAATCATATTCTATTTCACTTCTAGGTCTCTACCATTTGAACTCTTGTACTGGAATATTTGCACAAGATTACCAGAAGCAACACTGTAATAGCGAAACAGAAAAAACCCAAATGTTGAAATAAGCTGTGTTACATTCATGCTTGGCAATAGTCTTCAGCATTGAAAATGGAAGAACTACTGCAACAGTCATCGACATGCCTATGTCTAAAGAACATATTGTTGACCAAAATAAGCAAATGACTAGTGAATCCATACAATAGAAATCTATTTACAGAAAGTTCAAAAACTGGAAAAACCTTAAAAATATATTGTTTATGGATATGCATATGTGATTAAAAAAAACAATTTTAAAAAAAGCAAGGGAATGATAACACAAAGTTTGGGAAGGAGTTTACCTTTGGAGAAAGGGCAGGGAGAAGCATGCAGCAGAGAGTGGGACACAAGGGGCTTCTGCGGTGTTAGTAATATCCTGTTTCCTGGGTTGCTTGCGGGGGGCTACTTTAGAGTGGGGGGGGATAGAGGGGGTATACTTTAAAAGTTTTAGATGGTAAAGTCATATATTAAGTTTAATTATTCTGCCACTGATCCTTCAAATGAACAAAATTCATAAATTCTAAAACTGCTCAACAAAAGATATGGTCATAGCACACATTGTTTCTTTTTTAAAAATTTTTATTGAAGTATAGTTGATTTACAATGTGGTGTTAGTTTCAGGTGTACAGCAAAGTGAATTGGTTATACACACATTGTTTCCTAAATCATTCTAGTAATTTCCAAATAATTTGTTGATTTTTTAGTTGGTGTGTGTATTGTCTGACACAGCTGAGACTAGTCAAGTGATGCCCTTTCTGTGCCATCATTTGATATGGGGTAGCAGTGTACTCTTCAATACTCACCCATCAAATTGAAGTTGTTGTATGATGTGTAGTCTCAATAAGTGGAGAAAGAAAGGGTCCATGGTGCCGAATTCTTTCTGTACCCTGTAAGGTAACATGTTCAATTAATTAATGCTGGGATATAATTGACATAGAACATTATATTAGTTTCATGTGTACAACATAATGATTCGATATTTGTATATAGAGTCGGCCCTCCATATCCATGAGTTTCATATCGGAGGACTTAACCAAACTTGGATCTAAAATATTTGAAAACCAAAATTTCCAGAAAGTTCCAAAAAGCAGAACTTGAATTTGTTGTTCTCTGGCAACTATTTACATAGCATTTACATTGTATTAGACATTATAAGTAAACTAGAGATGATTTAAAGTACATGGGAGGAAGTGCTTAGGTTGTGTGCGAATACTATGCCATTTTATATAAGGGACTTCAGCGTCTGAGCATTTTGGTATCCACAGGGGTCTTGGAATGGATCCTCTGCAGATACTGTGGGACAACTGTATTGTGAAATGATCACCACAAGAAGTATAGATAACATCCATCACCACACATAGTTACAATTTTTTTCTTGTGGTGAGAACTTTTAAGATTTATTCTCTTAGCAACTTTCAAATACACAATACAGTATTATTAACTATAGTCGCCATGCTGTGCATTACATCCCCAGGACTTAATTATTTTATAACTGGAAGTCTGTACCCTTTGACGCCCTTCACTCCTTTTACTCATCTCCCACTCCCTGCCTCTGGCAACCATTAATCTGTTCTCTGTATCCATGAGTTCAGCTTTTGATTTTTTTTAGATTCAGCATATAAGTGAGATCATGTGGTATTTGTTTTTTCAATTTTCTTAAATTTACTGAGGCTTGGTTTGTGACCCAAGATGTGATCTATCCTGGAGAATGTTCCATGTGCACTTGCGAAGAAAGTGTAATCTGCTGTTTTGGGATGGAATGTCCTATAAATATCAATTAAATCTATCTGGTCTATTGTGTCATTTAAAGCTTCTGTTTCCTTATTTATTTTCATTTTGGATGATCTGTCCATTGGTGTAAGTGAGGTGTTAAAGTCCCCAACTATATTGTGTTACTGTTGATTTCCTCTTTTACAGCTGTCAGCAGTTGCCTTATGTATTGACGTGCTCCTATGTTGGGTGCATATATATTTATAATTGTTATATCTTCTTCTTGGATTGATCCCTTGATCATTATGTAGTGTCCTTCCTTGTCTCTTGTCACATTCTTTAATTTAAAGTCTATTTTATCTGATATGAGTATTGCTACTCCAGCTTTGTTTTGATTTCCATTTGCATGGAATATCTTTTTCCATCCCCTCACTTTCAGTCTGTATGTGTCCCTAGGTCTGAAGTGGGTGTCTTGTAGACAGCAAATATATGGGTCTTGTTTTTGTATCCATTCAGCAAGCCTGTGTCTTTTGGTGGGAGCATTTAATCCATTCACGTTTAAGGTAATTATGGATATGTATGTTCCTATGACCATTTTATTAATTGTTTTGGGTTTGTTTCTGTAGATCCTTTTCTTCTCTTGTCTTTCCCACTTAGAGAAGTTCCTTTAGCATTTGTTGTAGAGCTGGTTTGGTGGTGCTGAATTCTCTTAGCTTTTGCTTGTCTGTAAAGCTTTTGATTTCTCCATCCAATCTGAATGAGATCCTTGCTGGGTAGAGTAATCTTGGTTGTAGGTTCTTCCCTTTCATCACTTTAAGTATATCATGCCACTCCCTTCTGGCTTGTAGAATTTCTGCTGAGAAATCAGCTGTTAACCTTATGGGAGTTCCCTTGTATGTTATTTGTCGTTTTTCCCTTGCTGCTTTCAATAATTTTTCTTTGTCTTTAATTTTGCCAATTTGATTACTGTGTGTCTCGGCGTGTTTCTCCTTGGGTTTATCCTGTATGGGACTCACTGCGCTTCCTGGACTTAGGTGGCTATTTCCTTTCCCATGTTAGGGAAGTTTTTGACTATAATCTCTTCAAATATTTTCTCAGGTCCTTTCTCTGTCTCTTCTCCTTCTGGGACCCCTATAATGCAAATGTTGTTGTGTTCAATGTTGTCCCAGAGGTCTCTTAGGCTGCCTTCATTTCTTTTCATTCTTTTCTCTTTATTCTGTTTTGCAGCAGTGAATTCCACCATTCTGTCTTCCAGGTCACTTATCTGTTCTTCTGCCTCAGTTATTCTGCTATTGATTCCTTCTAGTGTAGTTTTCATTTCAGTTATTATATTGTTCATCTCTGTTTCTTTGTTCTTTAATTCTTCTAGGTCTTTGTTAAACATTTCTTGCATCTTCTCAATCTTTGCCTCCATTCTTTTTCTGAGGTCCTGGATCATCTTCACTATCATTATTCTGCATTCTTTTTTTGGAAAGTTGCCTGTCTCCACTTCATTTAGTTGTTTTTCTGGGGTTTTATCTTGTTCCTTCATCTGGTACATAGCCCTCTGCCTTTTCATCTTGTCTATATTTCTGTGAATGTGGTTTTTGTTCCACAGGCTACAGGATTGTAGTTCTTCTTGCTTCTGCTGTCTGCCCTCTGGTAGATGAGGCTATCTCTGGGGTTAATTTTTAATGCTCTTGTCCTGAAGGGTTTGCTGCCATCTTCCTATTTTCTGTTTCAACTATGTTCCGTGGCAAGTGGTCTGCACTTTACAATCACCACGAAGCTAGAGAGCCCGGACCGCCTTGCCTTCTGGTCGCGTTCTCCAAGGGGGCGCGACCACTTAAAGACCGGCAAACCGAGCTCGATGAGCATTCTACCACCTTCCCGCCCCCGATGCGCTTCTGCCTCCTGATGACTTACACCCGCAGGTTTCCTGGGTTTCTATCTCCTTCCTTTCTGACTCCTGTACCCTGGGGTCCCAGCTTCATCCTGAGCTGTCCCTTGCAATGGCCCCGTACTGCTCTTCCTTTTGCCCTGTATCCTCACATTCTTTAGGCAATCAACTCTCTTTTTCTAATATTGATTACCCTTCATAGCAAATGTCAGTACATTATTGTGTGGGGAAAAACACCCTTCCCCACCAGGAGTGATACTGGAAACAGACAGAAGCAGCCCAACTTGCTACACTCTTGAAACCTGCCAGATTGCACAATCCAGGAGAATTAGATGTGTGTGAAGAATAACGCTGCTGTTTTGAAATGCTGTCAAGAGGAATTTCCCAAATCTCTTTCTTTCCTGTTTGGTTTTTTTTCTTTTGGTTCAAACCTGTCTTCTCATTTGCTCCTCTAGCCAAGTGTCAATATATAAAGCACCAGCTCCATCTCCCAGGCAGGCAGCACAGGCAGCTCAGCTTTGCCAGGAGCCTCAGCAGGCAGGCACAGCCAAAGGTGAGGTGCTAGAACTTTCCAAACTTTTCCTCTTTGGAGATTCTCTCTCTTCACCAGCATTCTTGTGCTGCAGCCCAGCCCTCTGCTTCCTTCCTGAATCCACTATTCTGACAATCAGAATTCACCAGCTGTGAATACTTTGGGGGGGGGGGGGGAGGGGTTCCATATGCTGCTTCTGTGTGAAGTCAGTGATAGGCAGAGCAAGCATTTGTAAATGCTTGTGCCTTGTTTACCTCATCTCATATTACAGAGAGGTATAGTGCCCAGACTCCTCATGCCTTTGGGAAACTTGCTGTGCAGCTGGGTTTCAGGGCTGATAGGGGATGACCGGACTGGAAATGGTTTATATTAAAAGCCCGTTGCAATCCCTCACACAGGAAATCATTGGGATTCCAATGAGACACACGGAAATGAGAACTGGATCCTCTGTAATGCTATCTGTCTATCGGCTATATATTGAGATAAAATTCAGTGGAGTTTATTTTTGGAATGCAAGGGTGTATCCACATTACAAAACAAAAACAAGAACAAAAACCCAGACCTGTCATCCTTGTTTGTGTCTGCTCATCTCCCTGCAGCAGGATGAAGCTTTCCACGGGCATCATTTTCTGCTTCCTGATCCTGGGCGTCAGCAGCCAGGGATGGGGTACATTCCTCAAGGAAGCTGGTCAAGGTAAGGATCAAAGGATGGGTCAGGGGAAGGATGTATCTGCAGCTCCCAGGATTCACTGGAGCAGAGGTCACATCCCCACAGGGCAAAGACCATAAGAGGGAAAAAAAGGAGCTTGGTTTCCGTGGTAGCACTTCCCCAGGTTTTTCTGACCAGCTTTGCACCCTTGGGATTCCCAAGCCCGAGGTCACATAGAGTTTGGGCCCCAACTATCAGCAGGAGTGAGGAAGAGATCTGGATTCAGGAGGTGCATGTTCCCTAAATACAAGTGGGGCTCTGCTGCCCCCTCGTGGGCAACTAGGGATGGCTCATTTCCAAGTCTCAGGTACCATGAAATGGGTGCATTAAATGGGTGGGGAATGTTCACCCTCCCCATCCACTTAATAATTATAACTAAAATACCTGAGCTTTTAATACCTGCTAGGCACTGTTCTAAGAGCTTCGCATGCATGAGTGAACTCCTTGTCATCCTCAGGTTTTAATCCTTTAGTCCTGCAATGTTGGTACCATTATCCCTTACCAGAGAAACTGAGGCACCAAGAAATTAAGACACCTAACAAAGTCCTCCAGCAGAGCGGGATTTAACCCAAGACACTGAGCTCCCCCAGACCTTGCTATTAACCGAGGTATTCTATGCCTCCCAGACAAGAGTACACGTGGGAGAGTGAGGGATTTGTGAACACATGTCCTGAGCAAATGGCAAATAGTGGGGATGTGGTGCCTCTAGAAGGCAACTTGATAGAGCTCCTCTCCCCACCATAAATGGCACAATGAATTACCTTGACAATGGTTCTACTGAGGCTGAGACCTGGCCAGAAACTGATAGCAAGAGATACGTACCTCACTAGCCAGAGTGAAGTAGCAAAAATTTGCTTATTTCACAAAATTATTTTGTGTTATTATTTTTCTGTGATAGTTACTGAATAATTGTTTTAAGAGTTTGCTGGCCATTCTATCTAAATTCTCACAGACCCAGCTAAAAATATTTTTTCATCCCTTAGGTCAGTGTTTTTCAAAGGGCTGTTCTAGGGCCACATGCATGAGAATCACCCGTGGCCTGGGGTGCTTTGTGGAATGAAGGTGCCTGGGGCCACACACAACCCTTCCCTTGAATCACAATCCCAGGGGTTGAGACTGGAAATCTGGCCTTTATTAAGCACCCCAGTTGATTTTTATGCACACTGAAGTGTGCACAGTACCTCTGGTTTTGCTGACCTTAGGTGAGAAGATATGCCAGGCATTTTGGAAATACTTTTTAAGAAAGTCTGGACTTCAAGGATCTATTTAAATCAGTAACTCAGTGGGAATAAATATAGTAGGAATGTCATAACTCTCAACAAAACTATCTTTCCAAATGCCAAACATGACAAATATATAATATGAAGATAAGTTTTCTCATAGAGTCATCATATAAACCCTGATTATAACTCTACATTGGATTTTTCTCTTTGTCCTGATAAGTTTTTTTTTTAACTTTGCCATTTAATTCTAGCTGATCAGAGTCCTTCTGTCCATAACTCCCTGCTCCGCATCTTCATTCTTTTTCTTTTTTTTGTCCCACTCTTCCTAAGGAGTAGAGAGGGCATAGTATAATGAGCACCTACAAAGTTTTAGCCGTTAAACCTGTATTCCCTCAGTTCTTCTGTGTAACCACTCTGAGGGAGGCAATACTCCTCTATTTTATTGGAGAGGACACTGAACTTTATTTAGAGCTGGCGTGTCAGTTGCCCTTTTTCTGCATCTGATTACCCTGTTTCTTCAAAGCTGTCTTAAGGAACTCACGTTTATCACCTGCTGATTGAATTTTGACAGTTGGCCAGGTCCAAATATGCCCCGGACTTTCAGATGTACTCAGGACCGAGTTGTCCTCACTTTGTCCACAGGGATGGATTTCTCCCCTTGACTAGGTTGGGAGCATCCTATGTCTGCAACCTCCCTCAGAATCGCCTTTGTTCTCAACCTCTGGTCAGAGGGTTTCCTGTATCTTTCCAGGTAGAGGTCCATTGTACAACCAAACATCCCTTAAAGAGCATCCGACCTCCTCTTCGCACACAACCAAAAACGAAATACCAACAGACTTAGGATGGAATCAAACAGAGTAAAACTTGTACCACGTATGATTCTCATAACATTAACCCAGGGAAGTGAAAAGTAAAGGAATATTCATTTCAAGCCAATATAATAATCTCCAAGGGCTTAGTCAAAGGCTGAAATCTGGACCCAGTGGGAGGAAAATATTTTCTTTCTCTATTTTGCTGAGACGTGATCATGTTCATATCATCACTTTCTTTTCCTGCCAGGGGCTAAAGACATGTGGAGAGCCTACTCTGACATGAAAGAAGCCGGGTACAAAGGTGCAGACAAGTACTTCCACGCCCGGGGCAACTATGATGCTGCCCAAAGGGGACCTGGGGGCGTCTGGGCTGCTGAAGTGATCAGGTACCAGGGGCCCTGAGGATGCAGGGATGGGTGTGAGAGCCTCGGACAGCCAGGAGGGGCCAAGCCCTGGAGAACTTCCTGTAGGGCTGTGGCCTCTCCTCCTCTTATCCACCCTCACCCTCTGTGTCCTGTGTGGGGTCTGAGTGGCTGAAGAGCAGAGCAAGGCTGGTGGGACAGACGATTCCCAAGCCTCCCCCATGGGTGCTGTTCACCCAGCATAAGGGGACCCGCAGGGCTGAGGTGGGCTGAGCCCGGGCAGCCTCAGGCTTCATTCCCTCTTTCCTAGCTCCTGTCAGAGTCCTCGATTCCTTGGAAAGAGGAGAGATGGGGAGGGTGGGCTGTTGCTCGTCAGCCCTGGAGTAATCCCCTACCTGCCCTCCTCCATTCCAGCGATGCCAGGGAGAATATTCAGAGAGTCACAGACCTTTTTAAGCCTGGAGACAGTGGCCACGGACGGGAGGACTCGGAGGCCGACCAGTTTGCCAATAGATGGGGCCGGAGCGGCAAAGACCCCAATTACTTCCGACCTCCTGGCCTGCCCGACAAGTACTGAGCTGCCTCTCACTCTGCTCAGGAGACAGGGCTCAAGCAAGTGGAGACAGTGCTGAGCTAGGTTGCTGTATTCTGTATCTGTAGTTCTTGATAGTTGATAAAGAGCACATAAAAATGTTGAACAAATGCTTGTGAAATCCAATTTGTCCTTGGCATTTGGAAACAGCATATGACAGTCTTCTTGGGCACATGAGCCTATTTAATACCATGGGGATGATCAATAAACATCATAGTTTTTAAAAAGGAGATAACACACTAATAAACAATAGTAATAATTTGGGGTAAAACTTCACAGTCATCCACTGGTATCTGCAGGGGATTGGTTTCAGGACGCCTGCAGATACCAAAATCCGCAAGTACTAAGTGCCTCATATAAAATGCCATAGTATAGTTGACCCTCCACATCCGCTGAGTGGAACCCACCCATGTGGAGAGCAGGCCAGCTGTATGTCCAGAACACAGACTATACTGTATAAACCATATATGGACTATTATATGGACCAATTATCAGTCCATAACTCCCTGTTCCAAATCATGGAAAAGATAATAAGAATACCATGAACAACTTTGGCAATAAAGCTTAAAACTTGATAAAAATCAACAAATTCTTAGAAAAATACAACTTACAAAAACTGACTCAAGAAGAAATGAAAACTTGGATTATTCTATAATTATTGTAAAAGATCAAATCTTCCCCCAGAGAAAACAACAGTCCCAGATGGTTCTATAGACAGTTTAACCCTTCAAGAAAAGAAATGATTGTTTTTTTATACAAACAATTCTGCCCAGTAGAAAATATCCCCATCCTTTCTGTGAGGGTAGGAAAATTTGACACCATGAAAATCGAAGGAAAATTCAAGCAGTCAGAACTTTACAAGACTTGCCTGGTGGTACAGTGATTAAGAATCTGCCTGCCAATGCAGGGGACATGGGTTCAAGCCCTGGTCTGGGAAGATCTCACATGCCCTGGAGCAACTAAGCCCGTGTGCCACAACTACTGAGCCGTGCTCTGGAGCCTGTGAGCCACAACTACTGAGCCCACACGCCAGAACTACTGAAGCCCGCACGCCTAGAGCCCAAGCTCTGCAACAAGAGAAGCCACTGCAATGAGAAGCCCACGCACTGCAACAAAGAGTAGCCCCCACTCACCACAACTAGAGAAAGCCCATGCACAGCAACGAAGACCCAACACAGCCAAAAATAAATAAATAAATAAATTTTAAAAACTAGGTAGCTAAAAAAAATAATAACTTTACAGAATATTACCAATAACAAGTTGTGAAGCTGAAAGAAACTTTCAGCCACCGATAATTTCCTAAACTACCAATTATAATTTTTAAAAATTTAAACTATGCTAAAGACAGAATTACTTATTTTTTGTTACAGAAACTGTTCTTACAAGGTCACTGTTATATAAAAAAATGATCAAAGAAACGTCAGCAAAAAGTATATTAAAAAAGGGTTGTAAATAGGCAGAGCACAGAGGATTTTTTAGGGCAGTGAAACTAACTACTCTGTATGATACTATAATGGTAGATATCTGCCATTATAAATTTCCAGAGCCATAGAATGTACACCACCAAGAGTAACCCTAATGTAAACTATGGACTCTGGGTGATAATGATGCACCAATGTAGGTTTGTCAGTTGCATCAAATGTTGTACATTGTATCTGGTGGGGAATGTTGATAATGGTAGAGGCTATGTATAATGGGGGCAAGGGTTCTAAGGGAAATCTCTGTACCTTCTGCTTAATACTGCTGTGGCTAAAACTGCTCCAAAAATAAAGTCTACTAAAAAAAGAAAAAGGATTGTAGAAGTGTGTCAGGCTACTTACTAATAAAAGTAAGTTGCATATTTTCTGGATTTCATTTTAAGGTATTTGTTGGTTTCTTAAAATTGGTGATTTACTGTGATTTCTTTTTTCCCATTCTAAATAAATATTTCCTATTGTAACAAATTTAATATTTGTAATTTTGTACTGTTTCCCCTAAAAGGGGCTTCTGAAATTGCATAATTCAGGCCCCACAAAACCTGGGTCTGCCCCTGCACAAATGGTGAAAAAATGTTTATAATTATTTGAGCCTAGGGTCTAGTTGTATTCTATGTGTTAACACACAGTATTTTTTGTCCTGTTTTAATATACCTTAAAAATTTCCATAAGTGCAATTGCTGTGTCAATTGGAACTTTATTTTGTTAGAAATTTTACCATCATCTGTTCATGATTTTGAGAAGCAAGGTCCCTGAGGAACCACACCTATGTCGTTCTGCATTTGTAAATGTGGGGCTCACAGTAATTTGATGTGTATGTGCCAAAATCGGAGATCTTTGTTACATCTTCTAGTACAGTTGTGCCGGAGCATTTAAAACATGAAAATACATATTTTATTTTTCCTTTCTGTAAGGGAATCATATTGGTATTATCGGAATTACATGTTGAGGTAAGTTATATCATCTATAAATTTCATTTCATTAAAGTGGTGTTCTAAAATTTTTGCTGTGGGGTTTGGTGGAGCGTTGGGTCTGATGTTGAGTGCCATCAAACTAAATAGAAGAAGGAACTGAAAACACAGGAACTGAAAACACAGTAATACTAACGTTCTTCCTGGTGACTTTCGTCTTTTCCAGGATTCCGACTACACCTGGGAGAGAAATGATGCCTTTAAGAATGGCAAGTGTGCCCCGAGGTCAGAGGTCCGATAGCTTCACGTCTGTACTAGAGACATTGTCCTGTTCCATGCCCGCACCCCCCGTCCCTTCCAATCAGACTAAGGGCTCTTGGAGAGATGGAATATCTGGTCCAGTGAGGGTGACAAATAACAATTATGAATATAACCGCGCTGCGGTCCTGGGTAGAGCGTTGGGTAAGTCAAGACAACTGGGCTCCCTAGTCTGATGGGCATATTGCTCGGGCGCTCGGGCTGTCAGGGCTCCGGGCAGCAGGGGGCGCTGTGGCGGGAGCCGCGCCGTGCCCTCTTGGCGCCTGGAGGCCTCTCTCCTCCTCCGGCGGCTTCCGGAGCTGCTCTCGCGCGCCGGAGGAGGCCGAGTCATGGACCGCAATCCCTCTCCGCCGCTGCGGAGTCGGGAGGAGGAGGAGGAGGAGGCGGCGGCCGTGGGGGACTGCATAGGCAGCACGGTCTACAGCAAGCACTGGCTCTTCGGCGTCCTGACCGGGCTCATGCAGGTGCGGAAACTCGTGCCTCGCGTGGGCTCCCTGTACGTTCCCCCAGACCCCCACCCCGCCTCTGGCAGCCCTCTACTGCCGGGGGAGCCGCCGTCCCCACGGCGACCCCCTCCCCAGGCCCCAGCGGCCAGGTCTCACCCTTTGCGTCCTTGCTGTCTCCCGGACCCTAAAACTGCCGTGCGCCGCTCCCTGTGCCCCTCAACACAGAGGGAAGTGTAATGGCAGGGATGCTGGAATGCTTCTAATTAAAATGTTTTACTTTTGAAAATTTTCCAAAAATACGTGACCAGTTTCTGCCCCTCATTCCCACTTTCGTTTCTGAAGCCCAGGTCCTAATTGATCTGTTTCGAGGACTTTCGTTGTAGTAGAATAAATGGTGATTTTGCAGTCAAACAGCCCTGTTGTCAACAGCGCGGCTTGCCCAGCGTGACTTTGGGCAAATCGCCTAACCGATTTCTTTCTCAGTTTCTATAAAGTGGGATAATATTTATATTATTGTATATAGAGTTATTGCGTAGATTGTATAAGATTATAATAGCCATAGAGTGCTTACTATAGTGTTTGCCTCATAGGAGCCTCTCAGTAAATATGAACGTTCTTATGTTTCCCTAACTTTTTTCCTACTTCCAATCACTGTCCTCTCCACTCCACCTTCTACACAGCTGCGAGAATAATCTTAAAAAAAAAAAAAAAGCCGTCTATGGGAACTCCTCAGAGTTACCTTTGCCTACAGGAGAAAAATACATATTTCTTAGCTTGGAATCCAGGAATCTTTGCAACTTTTCCAGCTTCATCTGCCCATGACACGCTAAACTGCTTACCATTCCGCACACATGCTAGGCCCTTTCTTAACTCTGAACTCTTGTATTTTCTTCTGTATGCTCTTCTCCCTTCTTCACATGACAAACTTCGATTACTTCTCAAAGATTTAGCTTCAGTATCACCTCCTAAGAGAAGTTGGGGAAAACTTCTCCCAGACGTAGGTCATGGGTCCATCATTTTTGTTCTCACAGCTCTTTGTCCACAATTCAGTTGGATCACTTAGCTTTTTCTGTTGTGATTATCAGTTTATATGTCTTTTCCCCACTGGATCCTAAACTACTTGGAAGTAAGGGATTAAATCTTGTTTATCTTTGTATTTCTACCCAGTGCCTAGCAGTAGTGTTTACCCAAGGTACCCAAGGTACTAATTTCCTTTTTTTGGCGGCACCGGGTGACATGCGGGGTCTTAGTTCCCCGACCAGGGAATGAACCCGTGCCTGCTGCAGTGGAAACTCGGAGTCCTAACCACTGGACCTCCAGGGAATTCCCCCTTTTTTTTGTTGTGACCTCTAAATGATTATGGGGTAATATTACTTGAGGAGTACTGTGGACAGCCTTTATTCATCTCCTTCCTTTGTGTTTCTGAAGATTGTTAGCCCTGAAAACTCCAAATCCAGCTCAGATCATGAGGAGCAGCAGATGGAGCTTGATGAAGAAATGGAGAATGAAATTTGCAGAGTGTGGGATATGTCAATGGATGAGGTATGGGGTTGGAAATGGAAGTGAAAAGACTGTTGGGTAAGGAGGTAGTGAATGGATTTTTTTTTTTTTTTTTTTTTAGGTTCAGTCCTTAAGTCTCTGGGGAAAAACTTTAATGTCTGTAGTCACTCCTATTTATGGTACAGGGATGAGGTCCCAGGAGCTGTAAATGCTCAACTTTTGTCTTTGAAGGCAGAAAATCTGAGTGTCATTAGATTTGGGCTATGTAGATAGTTCTTATGAATGCTGGAATGCTTGTAGCCCAGGAAAGTTCTGATACTTATCTACCTAAAAAGAACACTGGCCTTATATTTGAGAGCAGGTTAGGAGTTAGGAGACCACTGAGGTACCACAATTAAACTAGAAGAAAGGGACAAGAAGGAATTACATGTATATAATTGC